TCATTCATTGTATAATATCAAAAACTAACAAAGAATGTCTTTCAATTTGGTGCACATGCATTTTAAATGAGATTGAGTGGATGTAATTTGGTAGTGTGAAATTAAGTTATGCTTCCTTCATATCTGATCATAAGCTTTTCAAGGCAGGAAACATTTAACTTTTGTGAGTCAGTGTATGGTGCCATTATTTTATGAAATTTGAAAAGCAAGTACACACTTTTTTTTAACTCAAATGGTTAGGTGCAAGGCATACTAAAACTTGACATTTTACTGTATTACTATATTTAGGATTAGCATAAATCACTGTGGTGAATTATCTTAATTGATTACTTGTGAATCAAATTAACCTGGGCGGAAGCCAGGGCAGGGTGGCACCTTATAGATTAACTAGTTCAGAGAGGCATGGGCTCTTTTAGGCTTCATCCTAGTTCATCAAATGTCATGAATGGATTATGAATTAACAATGAATAGTAGGTATGGATAGAAAGGAGACCAGACATGGTTTGAAAACAAGGTAATCCATGCATGCTTTTAAACAGTGATTTTTTTTTTTTTGTATTGTCTTGTATGTCAAATGCATCTAAAAGTAATATAAAATATGTTTTTGAAAATCCTGCTGGTTGCCAAATTTCAATCTGTTCGAAGGGAAAAAGTCTAAAAGCATTATCTAAATGAAAGTCTGAGTTAGGATTTTTCAAAGGTGCTAAGGGAATTAGGTACCTAATTGCAAATGACTTTCAATGGGAAATGAACACCAGACTTCTTCAGGCAGATTTGGTGTTCCTACCTTAATGTTAACTAAATAGCCGTGCCTGTTCAGAGTATATGATTTTACTGAAATCTTAACACACTGAGTTTATTTAAGAAGATACACCCCAAAAAAGTGTGCAGGCATGAACTTATTGCCATCTGCTTTTTATAATATTTTAAATGGCCCTTATCCAAATCTTACAAAACAAAATGACATGGTACTTTTGATATGGGCAGGATCTAGGTGCTGAGCTAACTTTTGGAAAAAGGAATCAAAATCTGAAATTCAGAAGTCTGTAGTCAGAGAATCAAATATGGTCTCTGAATCTGTAACCCAAGCTTAAGAAACATGTTTATTTCTCTTTTTGAAAATGTGGGCTTAAAATTACGGTTATTAATGGTCATTATTCAACCAATGGCTGTTGTTGGCAGGCTTTTACATAAGGCAAGAAATTTATATTAAATGAACTGAATATGCTAACATTTTGTTCTATTGCTGTATAATTGATGTGTAATTATAGCAGATATGCACTCCCCTAGTTCATTTGGAATGTGTTGCTTTTCCACACTTTTCCATAAACTGAATTAATCAGTCAGAATTGCAAAGAACCAGATCCGTTATTTGGTGAAACGGTATTCATGCATTAGGATTAACAGTTACTCATCAGTCACGCAGTCTTATTCTTCATGAATATTACACATGCCCAAATTTCACTGAAAACTGTGAATGTCTCGTAGGCATCTTCTCGCTTCATTGGTTTGAAAATGTGGGGTTTTTTTTACTTTATTCCTCAAATGGCTTTTTGCGGAAGCTGACTTTTCCTTCTCTTGCCCGCTAGGTGTGCTTACGTCAGTCGAAAAAAGTATTTAAAAGAACAGCAGTAAATATGCACAAGTGTATTAGCGATACCACTGATAGGACTATGTGAATCCTGCAAAGATTAATAAAGATGAAATAATGAACACGGTATTTGTGTTCTGTTTTATATGAGTAACTGAATATTCAAGAACTTACTTTGGAGGAAATATTTACAATTACCTGTTTTCCTTAACATAGGGGATTGCTGCACGTGTCAATCAGTCTGCTCTTGAGGCTGTCACGCCCTCTCCTTCCTTCCAGCAGAGACATGAGAGCATGCGGCCAACTATGTAAGTTACAGAACCGGGGGGGATCATTTAAAAAGTACATTTTTAACAAGTGTCCAGTAAAGGCATCTTCAACGATGGCAGGATCTACAGAAACATTTTCTCCTATTTCCAGTAACCTTCTAATGGAGTGAAAAAACAAACAAACCCCAAGTTCGTGAACAATGCATTCAAATACTTTTTTGGTAAATAGTTTAACGTATTAATAGCAAATGATCCAGCTTGCTATTCTGATTTTAACAGTTTACCATATGCTGTATTTTCTCACATACAACACAAGCCTTTCTCCTTAAAATCAACCTGCCAAATATGGGGTGCATACATTAAGTAGGGAAGCTGATTTTCTGACCCAGATAGAAGCACCTTGCTGTGATTCATGCCCGCAATACAGCAGATGCTGCGTTACTTTTTAGTCTGCTACAGGTGTCAGTTGACTTAATGGTTCTTCACTCCAGAGGTGTTAACAACTGTGTTGCCGTTTAATGGTCTTGATGTTCCACTAATCAAGCTAGCCTTTCTCAGGATAATTTTACTCTCTGCTAGCTGGTCCCAGTCTCTCCTCCTGTTTCACAGCCTTAGCTTTTTTCAAAACCATAGATCCACTCATGGAGACCAGTCTTTAGCAACAGCTCAGGTTTCAGCTTTAGTTAAGTAGGAAAGGGAGAGCGAGTCAGCTGAAAATTAAGCTCTGTCCCTGTTCTATCCAGCTATCATTCTGGAAAATATTTTTTCCCCTTCTTTCTGACTTTCAAAAACAAGGTATAGTCTGCATGTGAGAGAGTACACTGTGTCATATGACTTAAGATTCCACATTTTGGTATGTTGTCAACAAATACAGTAGTGTATTATATAAATTGACTGAGAAGCTAGACTGTATTCCTTTACTTTATAGTGACAATCTTGTTCCTCAGCAATTTCTTTTACCTAATACTTGAGTTGTTTTAGTTCTTTGTTTTGAAATATTACATTTGTGTCCACCATGGAATCTCATTTGTTGCCCAGAAGAATCGGGACAATCTTCTTTGCTCTGTTTTTGTTTTAGACAATCTCGTCCTCCCACTGCTCACACTAGCAGCTCTGGGTCACTGGGATCTGAATCGGCACCTTTGTCAACCCTTTCCTTGGATTCACTTGTTGCCCCTGACACACCTATACAACTTGACATAATTTCTCCAGTTAGTGAAGATCAGCTTGGCCAAGCAAAAATTTCAGGGCAGTCTGGCAGGTAGGAGGACCAGTTCAGAGAAAACTCTTTAAATTCTTCTGTTTTATAACAATGAAAAAGTACTTCAACACCGTCTTTGCTCAGGTTTTCTCTTGTAACAAGCGTACAAAGATCAGGTCTGCAAAACAAATATTTTTGTCAAATTGTTCTTATAAAAATGCCACACATCTGTAGGATTCAAAACACTGCTTTCATTTTTGCAGCAACTTTTCTCAGCTGATGCTTTTTAATCTTTTGGTTTTAAAAAGTATATTTTCCTTTCCTATTGCTTGCTCACCCAGCACCTTGGGTATTTCCTCTTGGAAACTCAAGAGAAATTTGGTAGCCATGACTCCAGGTGATGATGGCATTCTGATGACATTCTTCTTAAACCAAAAGGTGAGTGAAAATGATCTAGGCTTCTAGAGTATTCTTTTGCACAAAAAAACTTGAAAATTGCCAGAGTTCTCTCAAAAATAAAAATCAACTTCTTTCTCCAGTTTTAGTTATCTTCCCATTTAAAATGTAAATGCCTGATAGTGTGCTTTGCCTATAGAGAACTGCACATGCAGAATTCAAGTATCATTTGGCAATAACAGATCCAGTTAGTGTCAGTGAAACTGAAAACAAAAATCCTAACATATTGGAATAATGAGCATTCCTTTTTCTGGGATTTCTAGTATTCTCTTGTTTGTTGTGCAAACTTTAGTTCAGAGTTCTGTCATTTAATTCAACGGTTTCCAAAGGCCATATACTCTTTTTATTAGTGTAAGCCAAATATTTAAAAAAAAAACAACCTCTAAAATGTCCTAGTTAGAGAGAGACTAGCAATCATGTCATAGGCTGTGCAGGTGGGCAAGGTAGACTTCTTAGGTGTCAAGGATGATGTCAAACCAGTGGTTGGCACCATTTTTGGGCAGAGTGGCAAAAAATCCACAACCTCAACTTGTAAGATGCTGGCATGGCAGGGGCACATGTCAGGGGAGTCACAAGAGGCCCGATTCTTGTTGTAGCAGTGCAGCTCCAGTCTCTTCCCTGCTGTCTGCCCTCAGATGCACGTGCCACGGGTTGCCTACCTCTGTCAGACATATTTTAAAACTGAATTTCAGAGCATATGAGAGACACTGAAAAACGGCAACTTCACTTGTTGCCCTGCCAATCTTGATTTGAAGTTTAACTTCCTTTTCTGCTACTTCCTTTGGCAAGAGTTGTCAAGTATGTCAGTTAGCCAAAAGAAAGCTTTTTGTTTTCCCATTCTCTTTGAGAATTTTCACCTATTTTCAAACCTCTCCATTTTCTGTTTTAACGTTTCTTCCCTTCTCTTGAAAAATGTAGATTGGAAGCCTAGAATATTTTCACTTTATTGTGATTGAAAGTAATTACGTCTTTGCCAAAAGCCAGAAATGGTCAAGAGAAATTTGGCTCTCTCAGGGGTAAAATCCCAAGAAAAATTTCTAAGAGCTGCATCCAAGACCATGCCAGTGACTTTTCCACAGGTATTTCAACAACTTGAAAAAGTGAGGGAAGATGTGCTGCTTCAGTCGCTCACTGACAGGACTAGCCTTTTTGTTTAGTAAGACTCTCTCTTCTAAAACTAGGATTTTTTTTTTTTTTTAAATGTGACTCCTAGGAGTTGGATTTAACAATGCATTTATGGGCCCAAATGCATTCCCACAGCAGTGGGACAACGTTAGCTGATGTTTGTCAGCACTCTGTTCTGAGCCCCCGGCTCAAATGCAGCAGCTTGGGTTTTGTCCCAATGGTTAGTAAATCGTTCTTCATGACTCAGGATGAACTGTCCATTTTGGCCACCATCTCATGAAGCTATTAAATGATGCAGCATGAGTAGAGATTGTTGCAATATGGTTCTTGCAATCCGACTCCTCATGTAATATTCTAATTTTCTAATAGACGCACAAATCCATTTGGTGAATCTGGAGGCTCAAGATCTGAAACAGAAGGTAAAATAGGATTTTATGAAATACAGAATTTCCTTGATTGAACTACTTGAATGGAATTACTTTCTACAGAATGTGTGTGTGTGTCTGTATTACACACAAACATATATACATATATTCTGTAGTGTGTGTGGGGGTGTGGGGGTGTTTTACACAGACAGACAGGCACATGCACGCGCACACACACACACACACACACAGATACATGATATTTTTATAAAATATCAGTAGTCAGACAACATATTTGGTTGTTTTCTTCCTGTGTAAATGGTGTTTCAAAGATAATTAGCTTAACATCAGTTTGTGAAATTTTGGATTGAATTAAATGTTGCCTCTGAGTCATGTGAATTCAGTCAGACTTCAGTCTGGAATCCTGTTCATTTTTTAATGTCAATCTTTGCATTAAGTCCTCTATGTTCACTGAATATTTGTCAAAGAGCTTCATAGAGGCATGTATAACTTGCTCTTTAAATAACGATATCTGGTGTTCTGTAGTGCAACTTTCAGTTAATGTGTGGGGTGGGATTTTATTGCTTGCAATATGTTATTAATTTGGTGACCTGCCTTTTTAAAGGCTTACCTAGAAGGGAGTTTGTACTGCTTATTAAAATCTCTTCTCTGTCCTAGATTCCATTCTTCATCAGTTATTTATTGTACGATTCCTTGGCTCCATGGAGGTAAAATACGATGAAACTCCTGATGTTGTTTATGAAACAATGCGTCAGATACTAGCAGCCCAGGCTATCCATAACGTTTTCAGGATGACAGAATCACATTTATTGGTCACTTGCGACTGTCTGAAGTAAGTGTTCTTCGTGCATTTTACTGAAGTTGGCTTCCACAGATATCTGCAGTGGTCCTTTCAGTTTGCTAAAATTTACTTTCTGATTTTTTTTGAATATTTTTTAGGTTAATTGATCCACAGACAGAAGTTACAAGACTTAGGGTAAGTTATGTAAAAGCTTAAGAGAGAAAAATTGTATTTTACATTTATTTTTCCATTATCTGTCTACCTTTCTTTGTACACAGTGTTGATTCCATATTTAATAACACTTAATCAAAGTGATGATACTATAATGAGACTTTTAAACAATTTCCCCCACAGCTTGTATTCTCACTTCCGGTGAATTTGGACTTCAGCTATCTAGGTGGAACACACTCTTTAGGGGATGATTTTCACTTGATTGAACAAGCATTTTAAGCTGTGCCTTTTCATTATTTTAAATGCAAAGACCATAATGAAAGATCTGTCTGTTTAAAAAAAAAAGTCCAACATCTTTCTATTTTAGCATTGCAAACAATTATTGCACTTCCATTTAATCTCTTTGGATTGTTTTGGAGATCTGAAGGATTTAAATGTGTCTGTAAGTGTTTTAAGGTGTACTTTTGTTTATTAAGTGTGTAAAACTTCATAGAAGTAAAACTAGTCAGGTGATTCTCAGCCCTAAGTGGAAAGCTGTCTCAAGGCTGGAAATTGAAAAGTTTTAACATGTTATCACAAGCCGATTGACCTAAATTACATTAGGATTCATGCAGAAAACCCATATCAAGTGATATAAATTAAAAAAATAAACTATTTCAAATCTAGGTACAGTAGTTTTCCATCTTTTGTGAGGTTTTGTAAGTAATCCAACCTGGAAATGTATAGTCTCGACCTTTTTTGGTTGTGAGACTGCACGCACTACAATTGAATACCTTACAATCGGAAAGAAGAGAGAGAAAGTAGTTGGTCCCCCTCTTGCTTGCATAAATCCAAAGAGCCAAACTAACTTAGGTCAAAAGATTTCAAAAACAAATTTCTTTTGGGTTTTGACTGTAAATTATAAACTTAGTCCCAGAACTAATTGGTATGGAAGAGATGGACATCTTTAAGAAGTGGCAAGGGGTTGTGTGAATGTGCTTAAAAACAGGAACTTCAGACTTAATTGTAATGCTTGCTGTATGCAAATGCTGTCTTACTACAGAATGATGTATTTTTGAAAGACTGAATACTGTCAAGTCACTGAATTTTTCTTGGATAACCTTTCTTTCAGTGCGCTCCCATGCAAACATCACCCAGAAATTTGATTCAAGATGCAGTGAAAAATACCTTCACTCAGTGAAGTTAGTTGTCTTTCACCCAGTGTGTTCATTTGTTTTGTTATTACAGTCATCTACAATACATTAAAATCTAGTGCATACCTAAATCCTATTATCTGATCCTTTCTTTGGCAGTTTCCTTTGCCCAATATTGCTTTGTATGCTACACACCAGAAAAACAAGCGCCTTTTTGGATTTGTGCTTCGGACTTCAGGAGGGAGAGCTGACAGCCGTCCAACCTCAGTCTGCTATATTTTTGAGTCAAATAATGAAGGGGAAAAGGTATTCTTCCCAGGCTATTTATATGTAAACTGCTTCATTTGCCACTCTAAGGGGAATGGAAATAATGGCCAGTATTAACCAGTTATCAATAATTAGGGGTGAGGAGCATTGGCAAGGTGTTGGAACAATCGCAAATTAAGCAGAGGCAAATTAACTACTGTTTCCATACTTTTACCTTGTTAAAACAAGATTCTAGCTCCCATTCAAGCTGAAGGAGTTTTGTTTGTGAAAAATTGGTTTGGCCATGGACAAATGTAATTTTTAATGACTTAAAGGTGGAAGAGAGTTGCTGCTTCAGTTTGCCTCGGCTGTTAACTTGTACCCTAGTAGCAAGACAAGTGACCTAAATCACCGTAACTTTAGTGCTGAATGAAAGACAGAATTTGATACTGATAAAATTGTTCTGTATATCTATACACCCCATGAGGCCCAGGATCTGAAAGTACTTTAATACACGGACCCTTTATGAAGCCTTAGGAATTTGTCTTAATTTTAAAGGCATTTGTTTTGTACTTACTGGATATTTAATGTTTTTTGTTTAGATCTGTGATTCTGTTGGATTGGCAAAACAGATAGCTTTGCATGCAGAATTGGTAAGAGTTTTAAGTAGAAAAAAATACACAACTGTGTTAGGGTGTGTTTAACTAGTGTATTGTATCTAGATAGTTATAGCATGGTGTATCTGGCAACAATCTATATTAAGAATGCGTAAAGAACCTATTACATATATGTTGGTATGATTTAAACTTACCAAGAAGAACATAAGGACATACTGGGTCAGACCAATGGTCCATTGAGCCCCTCCAACAGTGGCAGCACTGGATGGTAGCAGAAGAGTATTATTGCACCAGCTAGATCTAGAGTTATCTATCCCCTATCCATTAGCCTCCCTAGCATCCACCATTATTGGTTTAGATATACCAGATATCCAACCTTTCTGTTCAGAAAGTGATAACCAGGATTTAAGGGGATGGGCAGCTGGATACATTATACCAAGCTAACTGTGGTAACAGTTTTGTGTCTGTATCTATTCAGTGTTAAGCCTACTTCATTCAAGGGTAATGTGGTGAGACCTCTTTTAACTCTGTATTATTACTTGGTCCTGTCCACAGCAGAGTAGGTTTCGTACCAAGATTTACCGGCAGATGGTTTTGCAGCTATATTGTGTTGCTCCTTTTGGCAACAAATACTTCAGGAAATCAAACACTGATATTACTGTCTTAAAGAATGTCCTGTAGCTTTTTACATTCTATTTAACGAGGTGTAGTCTTATATCTATCTATCTATCTATCTATCTATCTGTCTTTGCACTATAGGGTCGTAGAGCATCAGAAAAGCAAAAAGAAATAGAAAGAGTAAAAGAGAAACAACAGAAGGAACTCAGCAAGCAGAAGCAAATTGAAAAAGTAGGCCTTTTACTCATTATTTTACTAATATTTTTTCTTATTCATGAATATTTAGGCTGCTTTTCATAGCACTGAAACCAGAGCTAAAATACAACACTCGTTAGAAATAGTGGAAAAAGATTGGTTTGTTTTGGGGTTCTTAGTCAATAAGCAGTAATTTTGTGTAGATAATAATGTGGCAAAAGCCTCGATCCTCATATCTATTTTGGCAAATGCATGCGGTCCCCTGGGCCTTGTTACCACAGCAGAGGGCCTACATGGCCAGATGCTGTGTGTAAATTCCAAAGCTGTAATGTTAGTGTAGATTCTGATTTGCACAACCTAAGGCTGTAACAGGAGATGTAATTAAACACATCTGAGCAAGAGAACGTTTTAAGAGTTAAGCTGTTTTGAAAAAAAAAAAAAAACAAAACTTCATCTAATCTCTCCTGCACAAATTAATGATGCATTATTTTACTAGACTTGCATTTAAAATACAGCAAAGTAAAGTTTCAGGTTTAGATGACCTCTTATGGTGGTGTCCAACTCATTTGGCCCTGCAGGCTGGATCTGAAGGCCAGAGCTGCATCATCTGTCCCACAAGGGTGAAGTTTGGCTGTGGCACTGTGAATTGCTGCAGTACCCAGAGCAACGGTAGCCCTGAGAGCCAGATGGCATGGCTCTGCTCTCCAGGTCCAGCCCATGGGACTATTCACAGGCCTGGAAATTTGGCAGTAGGATAAGCACCAACAGCATTAATTGCTGTGGCACCAGGAGCTGCTGCAATTAACATTGCCATCCCTTGCTACATCACCAAATTTCTGGCCCCTGGGGAGCCCCACAGGGTGGATGACATGGCTCTGTGACTGGATCCAGCTTGTAGGCAATACCTGGGTCATCCCTGATCTGTTACATAATCTTCTGCATCAAATATCATTATTGTCAAAATGTGTAGTTATTTTGCTGCAATGCAGCTAATTGGTTCTAAGTTGAAGTTTGCCTGGGATATAAAGGCATGGCTTCATTTAGGGGCATGAAATATGGCCTACAGAACCCTGCCCTCTGGCCAGAGGGTCTTATAGGAGGGCTAGGGATTCAGCGGTGGGTCAACCCATCAAAATCCAGGGCATGGAGCCCCATTGGGGATGCATACTGGCAACCAGGGGGTAAGCAGCAGTATTAACCGCTACACCACTGCCATTTGGCCCACCACCATCACTGTATCCAGATCCAGTACACGAAGAAGGATGCATCTGATGCCCTTGGCTTACTAGAATAAAATAGATGCTTTTGCCGGCTGTGTTTCACACAGTGACAACCATCAAAAAGATTTTTCTGTTTCAGTTTCTAAAAAGTCCTTCAGAGTCTGCTGTAGAAGCAGTTCACTAATCAAATTGCCCTTGCTTGGCATTAAACACATCTTAGGTTTGTACAGTACCAGTATCCTGTTTTCATTGTGGAAAATTATGAGATGAATGTTATTTTTATTTCTTCTTTCCCTATTCTCTTCTCAAATTAGGACTTGGAAGAACAAAGTCGATTGATAGTTGCTTCCAGCAGAGCCACTCAAAGCAGTGGAGAGGGACAATTTGTAGTCCTTAGTAGTAGCCAGTCAAAAGACAGTGACTTGGGAGAAGAAGGAAAGAAGAAGAGGGAGTCTGAAGCCTGAGGTTACTTGTTTTATTAAAATTAGAATCTTTGGACATACCTGTGGTGAAATGGCACAAGTTACAGAAGAAGCAAAAATAGAGCTGGGAGTGTCTGCTTATTAAATAGAGACTTAATAATAGGTGGATCCAATTTATGCTTTGCATTTTCTTTATATGTTAATTTACTTTGCCTGTTAATGTAAGAATATTCCTTCTTCCATATGTTAGAAGGAAGCATGGCAGTACTGTTGTATTTGTTACCTTCTCAAGACTTTTAATGTCAAAACTTTTTTCATTTGCCTGGTGGTGCAACTGACTGTTTTGAAGCAAAAAATTAATCTTTTGATTGGACTTGAACAGTACACTGTTCTTTGAATTGCTGTATATAGAACACTTTGCTGGAAACAGAAGTGAGCTTTAAACTAAAACAGCACTCTTCAATATCTAACTTGTTGCAGAGGATTGCTTCTGGAGTTAGTAAAAAATAATAGCCCCCCATTAACACCAGTCAAATGTGCAATAGTTCTAGACTTACGGGAAAGGGATTTTAATTTTTGTGCACTGGATGGTACTCTCCTGGTTTTCTACTG